GTTCGGGAGCTGTACGGGCTATTGTGAATACCCGTACAGCACCCCTTCGGTTCTACTGAACCGAAGGGGTCCTGGGGCCGAAGCTAGCCGAAGGATCGGCCGAAGCTACGGCTAGATCCTTCGGCAGCTTAGTGAATATACCCCTATGTGTTCATTTTGGTGCCTTGCCTTCCACTTTCACTTCTGACATGATTAAAGGGTAGCTGAGATTTTTACCTGAGCAGCATGAAAATAGTCGCAGGCATCAAAAAGATTTCATTACAGGCGATGAACTTCAGAATATTCTGCTGATTTGCATGAAGTCTGTCCAGAAGAGATCTGACAAATGGTATGCTGTTTGGTCCTTTGGCCTAAACCAAGGGGATAAAATACAAGGTTTAAATGATAGGGGTTTTATAATTTCACAAAAACCTCAAATCATATCGTACTAAACTCAGGTCCCTGCATGTTACAGAAATAATGCCACCAGTAGTATATACAAAACACTAGCACCCAGGGTCAGCACCTAGGCTTTCTTTTTAAAGGCCAGATGGTTGGGCCTGTCAACACTCTGAACTGGCCTTTATTGTACCATTGTTAGACACTGCGTTTCACCAACATTTCAATAATTAAAAGGAGAACTATGGGGTTAGGGCTTTTCCCCCATAGTTCTCCTAAGGGTAACGGGAGGACACAAACTAGCGTCCTCCCGTTACCCTAAGCTCAGTATACCGCGAGCTACAGCTCACGGTATACTGAGACGCCACAGCCGGAATGGATCCCGACAATTCTGTCTGGATCCACCCAGATGTGTGAGTGACAGCTGGCTCTGCCTATCTAGAGGCAGACCCAGCTGTACCCGCCCCCTCCCCCATCCATTCCGACAGTCAGTGCTGGAGGATCGGACAGCGGAGGGGAGAATCCAGTCCCTCCCCGGTCACGGCTCTCTGCACAGATAGATCGAGAAGTGAGCGAGCCACGGTATGTGTTCGCTCACTTCCCGATCTACTGAGCCGACCTGTGACAGTTTCATTGTCACAGGTCGGCTCAGATTATGAGGCTGAGTGAAAATCACTCGCCTCATAATTCTCCTTTAAGCTGAATTTTAGCATTTCCCGTCTGACACGGCCTAAATGGGAACTTGTTCTATAGATCCCTCAGTCCCCATCACAGAGAAATTCCATAGCTAAAGATAACATTGTTGTCGGGACTTGTCCAAACACATGAAATTAACACTATATAAATGAACATGAACATTTTTGCATAAATTTGATATTTAACTATTGAAAGTCTCTGTTCCTCATAAATGGATAGTTTATTTTCATACGTTGCTCTGCTGAACAGGCACCTTATTAGAACTTCTCTACTATCAACGAACAGAACCTGGCTTTTTTTTCTCCGGACTGATAATCTGTGTCATAAACTTTGGGATATGACCCTTAAATCTATTCAGCACAAGCTCACCACCGTGCAATATAACCCTTTGAAGCTGCAGCAGCTACCTTGAGCCCACCTTCATTTCCTGCAACCAGGTAATGAAGTGAAATTAGGGTTTAAGCGATCTGGCCTCAAACCCCATGTTGAACAATTCGAAAGAAATCTTACATGGGATCATAAAACAAAGGAAAAAAATATCTTAATAATTCAATTATAACAGTAAAGGAACATCCAATATATAACGATATATGAACGATCCACACAAAAAAAATATATCGGAGTACAGTGTTCAGTGAGAAAAAAACGTGTGCAGAGGAAAAATAATTATTGATGGTATATATTTCTTAGCGGTGGTCCAACAGCCCCTCTTGGGTGGGTACTCACCAAATGGAGTTTAATCAAAGGCTTTTGGTTAGTGGCACTTGGGCTTGCAATCACGCTTTCAAACTTGGACCCAGTCGTTTCCACTCTAAGACCCAGCGAGGTGAGTGTTTGGTTTTCTCCCTTGTGACGCTAGCTGTGTCCCAGAAGCGAAGCTGGATCCTCTCAGATGTAGTGTTAGCTACTGCAAAATCCTGGAGTTTCGCTAACACTACATCTGAGAGGATCCAGCTTCGCTTCTGGGACACAGCTAGCGTCACAAGGGAGAAAACCAAACACTCACCTCGCTGGGTCTTAGAGTGGAAACGACTGGGTCCAAGTTTGAAAGCGTGATTGCAAGCCCAAGTGCCACTAACCAAAAGCCTTTGATTAAACTCCATTTGGTGAGTACCCACCCAAGAGGGGCTGTTGGACCACCGCTAAGAAATATATACCATCAATAATTATTTTTCCTCTGCACGCATTTTCTACGTTTTTTTCTCACTGAACACTGTACTCCGATATATTTTTTTTGTGTGGATCGTTCATATATCGTTATATATTGGATGTTCCTTTACTGTTATAATTGAATTATTAAGATATTTTTTTCCTTTGTTTTATGATCCCATGTAAGATTTCTTTCGAATTGTTCAGCATGGGGTTTTAGGCCAGATCGCTTAAACCCTAATTTCACTTCATTACCTGGTTGCACTAAGTTTCATACCACTTATACCTTTAGCGCTTTGATATATATTTCTTTACCGCTGAAAGGATTTTCCCATCCTCTTTTAGAGCTGCTTTAGGTCTTAATTAATAATACATATTTTTACTTTAGTCTCTTCTCCAGAAGCGCAGATTATCTATTTCACAT